AGGAGCACTTACCCACCATGCACAGGGCCCTGGGTTAATCCCAAACCCTGTGAAAACTGTTTGTCAGAATCAGCCATGCTTTCTTTGTGTGTGAGGGGCTGGGCGGTTTTCAGGAAAGGTCTTTCCTGTGTAGCTCTGGCTGGTCTCAGCCTCCCAAGCAGTCATTCATGAGTTAGCCCATACATTCATTTTCTTGCTTGCTTGACTGGTTGGGTTTATTGTTGCTGCTGATATTTTTGGTGTGTGCATTTGGGTTGAGAGGGGGCTTCGTGCAGCTCTGATTGGCCTTGGCCCTGCCTCTCTGGTGCTAGACTCCACCATGGTGTGTAGATCTCCACCATGGTGTGAGATCTGTGCCTGCTGGGTAAGCGAGCACTCTCTTAACTGAGCTACACCCCAGCCCCAGCCCACTTACTTCTCTTTGTGTGTCTGTTCCTGTGTGTGTGCTGGTACACATGTGTGCTGGTGCACATGTGTGCTGGTGTACATGTGTGCCTGTTCCTATGTGTGCTGGTGTACACATCCTGGTGTACATGTGTGCCTGTTCCTGTGTGTGCTGGTGTACACATCCTGGTGTACATGTGTGCTGGTGTACATGTGTGTACGTGTGTGTCAGTTCCTGTGTGTGCTGGTGTATATGTGTGCCTGTTCCTGTGTGTGCTGGTGCACATGTGTGCTGGTGTACATGTGGGCCTGTTCCTGTGTGTGCTGGTGCACATGTGTGCTGGTGTACATGTGTGCCTGTTCCTGTGAGTGCTGTTATACACATCCTGGTGTACATGTGTGCTGGTGTACATGTATGCCTGTTCCTGTGTGTGCTGGTATACACATCCTGGTGTACATGTGTGCTGGTGTACATGTGGGCCTGTTCCTGTGTGTGCTGGTGTACATGTGTGTCTGTTCCTGTCTGTGTTTGCTACTGTACACATGTGCTGGTGAGTGCACACAAGCACAGGTGAAGACTCGGGTGTCTGTCCCCAGGCACTGTCCACCTTGCCTCTTGATACCGAGGCTCTCGATGGCCTGTGAATTCCTGGGATCCACAAGACTCCACCCACCAATGCTGGGATTACAAGCATGTGCCACCCTCAGGGCTCTGGGGACTGGGTCCGGTCCTAATGCTGAATAAACAACAATGTTGAATTTCACTACCGCACTCTCTCTCCTGGCTCCAGTCCACACCTCCAAGGTCAACCCCACATCTGGACTCCTGCATATGGCTCATAATCTGACCAAGGGGTCAGAAGCACTGAAAGCAGCTGCTAAGACAGATGCCAATCACTGAGAATGTATGGTAGCCCAGCACGGAAATGAGGCGCACAGCGGTGAATGAAAGAACTTACTACAAAGAAGCAAGCGACAGGATGGAGGAGGCCAGATTCTATTTCAGAATGACTGGCTGGAGAAGCTGGGATGGGAGGTGGAGTAAAAGACGCAGCAAATGAAAGCCTGACTTTCAGTCACGGACTTATTTACTATGAACTGAGAAATAAAACCAGGATTCCCAGATGGGAAGGAAGGAGACAGGGGACAGGCCGTCACCTCCATACTGATCCACTGCATGTGTAACAAGCTGACTGAGATGTGAGAGCAGGGAGCCCTGGACTAGGGTCCGAGACAGGTTGTCTTGTCTGCTTCTTTGGAAATGAGTAGCCTTGAAGTAGTTCCCACACCTTGGGACTCAACTTCCCAGGCTACTGTCAGGTGCTGAGGGCCAGTCAGGCTTGGAGGAAGGACACCTTCAAGGAGGTGAGGAATGTCCAATACCCTACAGGCAGAGTGAGGGGTGGGAGAACGGGTTGACAAGAAGGACAGACCAGGTGGAGGCAACCCTGGGCACTGGGCAGGACCCTCAAGAGATGGGATCCAGATCCAAAGAGAAACGTGTCCCTGGAAGTCTACAGGGACCGTTTTCCATAGTGGACGCCTCCTGACAGCCCTTATCAAGGGGCTGCTGCTATTGCCTGCCTGAGGCCCCCTCTCTTCTCACTGCCACCCTGAGGCAGCTGCAGTGGACAGCTAGCTATCTGGGGGAAGCAGAAGCCACCAGAGTATATTTAGTACAGTATAAACAAGTTCTTAGAACCCAGCATGAGGGGCCCGAGGGGATCGCTCAACTCAGGGAGGGAAGTACGTGGTTCCCCAAGAAAGCTCTAGAAAGCAGCCAGTCCAGACCCTGCCTGGGTCTCTCAGTCTCCTGTTCTAAGGAAAGGAGACAGACAAAACGTGGATGAGCAGCTGCTACTGAAGCCACATTGCACCTCCTGCCCGCCTGTTTTGCCAGGCTGCTCTTGGTGGGACCCAAGCAGGCTGAGCTGATGTCATCTGAACAAAGACGCCATCTTATCTTGGCCAACCCATGCTTGCCCGCCAGCCTGGCTCTCCCCCAGCCCCAAGACCCAGCCCATGAGTTTCTACAAATGCAAGTTTGCCCAACCACCAAGACACTCTGTCAAATTGTTGAAAACCAATACGGTAAATTTCTGTGCAGATTATCACCTCCAAATAAAAACTTAAGCCCAGCCATAACTCTGAAATGTTTAGGGCTTAGTGGGATAATGTAAAGAGAACTTCTCTGACAGGCCGCATAGCCGGCTGACTGTAGGGCATGGCTTTTACTTCGGTTCTGAGGTAGAATCTTGTCAGATATTAGTAGTGTAAGTTGTAGGTAGGGGACAAGATCCTCTGAGGAGTCCTCACACTTCAGCATAAAAACCACTGGGGTACTTGCTAAAAATGTAGTTGGTTCTTCCTCTTCCTCTTGGGTTCCCAAGATTGAACTGGGGTCTGACTCTTATCAAGTCTCCACTTCCCCCACCTAGTAGGCAAGATATACTTGAGACCTTAGAAATGAGACAAAGGGCCTCCAGCTATGAACCTTAGAAATGGGTGGAGCTTACAGCTCTTGGATACCGTCTTCGATAAGATTTAGCTCTTTCTGCCACACATAAAATACACTGGGGAAGACAGGCTTACTGTCAGCTCCAAGTCCAGGCTCTTGGTGGGGTGCACCCAGCTTTGGTTGGATAGCTTGGAAAAAAAACAGTTCGGGTGGGATGTCACTCTGTGGCAGAACACTTGCCTACCTTGTGTAAGGCCTTGGGTGTGCCCTTAGCTCCACAAGAAAAACATAATCAAAACTACCCTTCCCCAAATCCTTAACCATCTTGTGGGCGGCTCGCCTGCTGCCCATCCTCTCTATAAGAAGCCCTCATCCTCCCTCTCTCACTTGGCTCCTTCTTTTCTTGCTGTTGGGCAGTGATGTAAGTGACCAAACTGGCTCATGTCCTTTCACAAGGGTGGCAGACCTTATACCCACAGACTTCAAGGAAACTGAACTCTTTGCATTCCTGACATCCCACACCACCCCCTGCTGTTTATTTCCTGCCCTTTCTATCATCAGCGGGGTGGGCAAACTTCTTCAGAGTTAAAAGTCTATTGCCCTGGAGCACATGCTGCTAACACTTCTAAAACTGCCCTTCAGTTTGGAAATGCAATGTGGCCATATGCAAAAGCTTCCAAAATCCATGTGTCTGTCATGATTCAGTGGTTCTATTTGTATTAGATTTAGGCCAAATATAATTCAAAGCAACAAGAAACCTATGCAGGGCTATTCACAACTGCTCTATGTAACAAAAAAGAGAATGAAAAGGAAGCTAGTAACTCCTCCATCTTTATCATGTATCCAGAATTGCTTCTCATGAATATGGAGCTTCTCATATTTAACTGTTGGCCCTGCTATTGGTAACATGAGCACATATTTATCGGAATTAAAGTCCGTAGTCACCGGCCAGCAAGATGGCTGGGTGGGTAAAGATGCTTGTATCCAAGCCTGATGACCTGAGTTTGATTACAGTTGGAGAGAACTTATTTCCACAACTGTCCTCCACATGCAAGTTGTGGCATGTGCACACACACACACACACACAATCTAAATTTTTTTTAAATTAAGTATGTAATTAAGTCCACAACTCTCTGGAATCCACTGTACAAGGTTCATCAAGCCTGGATATCTGACATATATATTGGTATGTCCCACCACGGCTAATTTCAGCCCACCTATGACTTAGCAACCAGTTCTCAGATACCCGGAATATTTAGCAATTGACTCTTGCAAGCCACACTAAGCCAGCAACAGTGCAGCTCTGAGGCACAGAAAGGTCCAAGGACATTCACTATTCAGTGTGGCCGAACTACAGAGTCAAGGTTGGAATTAGAAGTTCAACCCCAGTGCCTAGAATCTGACCACTGTGTCAGCCATCAACACGCACAAGGGAATCCGACCACACGGACAACACTAATGGAACACTTTAATTCATATTAGGCAACGGTGCAAACTCTTTACAAACAACCCCATGGATTCTGACGTTAGTAGGGTTGTCTTAAATATTTAATGAAATGATTTGCATGAGTTGATTGGTGGAGGGCAGGCTCCAATTAAGCACTTAAAGCTACACTTTGCACATCCCGACGCCTCACAAAGAAGTTGCACAGCTGGTGAGTGATGGCAATGGGATTCAATCTGTCTGACTACAGTCGCTTAACCACAGTTGATGTTTAGGTGAAAAGAGGAAACCGGCTGACACGTAACGTAGCTACTCTCTGGGCAACAGGAAAGCAAGCGGCGAACTCCGAGCCAGAGTCAAGCAAGCAAACAAACCTGGGTTTGAGAGATCCACCAACTAAGAGTAGAGCAGGTCACCCAACACCCCGGCCTCAGAACCCCACCCCTCCGACTCGGCTTTTCTAAAGATGAAGACAAGAGGTGTCAACACACAGCTCCTGGCCACAACATAAGCCATCAAAGAGTGTTAGGTATTATTATGAACAAAAAGGATGCAGAATTCGAATCAACCGTTTCTGCACTGTGTTTTCTTTGTCTTGCCAAGTTGCCCCAAACTGTGGGTCGGGCTGGTCCAGGGGTAAAGACAAAGTGACTCCTCCGCCGTGTCACACAAGTACCTCCCCCGCCCGGGTGTGCAGCCACCTTGGGACTGTACTTTTTGGCGCCCCGGGGCCGAGCCGCTCGGGGGATGCAGAGGTCCGGTGGAGCATCCTTCCCCGCTCGGCCCGCGGCGGAGGCTGCACACAGGAGCCCACGCTGCCTCAGAGTGTGGGGCTGTTCTGTGGCTCCCAGACCTTCTCTAGAAAAAAAAAAAAAGCTGCTGTGGCTCCAGCTTCAAGCCTAACTTCCTCCCGGGGCGGCTCCGGGGTTCTGCGCTCCCGCCGCGTCTGGGACAGAGCAAGCGGGAGGAGCGCGGCTGCTGTCCGGGCGGCACCGCGAGCCGCGCCAGGGGACCCCACGACCCGACCCTTCCCGCGCCCCAGCGCCCACAGCCGCTTACCAGACGGCGGCCGCTTCCTGCTCAGTCGGCTCACGGCGCGGGTGAACATTGCCGCGGGCGCCCGGAGGACGGATCAGCCGGGCAGCACCGCTGCTGAGCCCGAAGAGGGTAAAGAGGAGGAGGAGCCCGCGCGACACCGCCCCTCCAGGCCCCGCCCGCCGCCTCCTCTCCGCCGCGTTCCCCTCTGCCTGCCCACCCGCGCCCGTGGGCACTAAGTCCAGCCCCCAGCTACCGGTGCAGGGCAGGGCGCGGTGGCCTCGGGTGACCCTCAGCTCCCGCGCACATCCCGGTCCCTCCCCTCGCGGCCTGGGAGACGCACAGCGTTCCATGTCCCTGCCAGGCCGAGTCACCTCCCAGATCCCGACTCCGACTCCGTGGGTGCACGGCCTGCTAACGCCGCGGGTGCCCGGGAGGTGTCACCAGAGCCGGGACCAAGATGTGGACGCCCACTCCGGTTCACGCCACGCCTTGTGCCCCCCAGTTTCGAGGCTCTGGAACAGACAGACCTCGGAGAAAGCTGCCTGAGCCTCTACGGTTCCAGCGCGGATCGGAGCGCGCCGGCACATTTTTAACTTGGACGACACTTGGATGCAGTCTCAGGAGGACCTTTACGCTCAACTACGGGAATCCCGATGGCTCCAGCGCCCGGCTCATAGCTTCTCTCCCGGTGTCTGTCACCTGCTCAGCGCGGCGCTCCACGCTCATCTAGTTTCCCATTTCTTCTAGAAAACAGCCCAAGGGGGGAGGGTGTCATTAGCCCCATTTCCTTGAGCATTTGGTTTGCAAGGAATTGTCTTTCTGGCGAGTTTTATTTTCTCCTTTGGATCTGGCTTTGTCTCGAAATTGGTCTTTATTTTTAGCTGTGCTAATTGCTATTTTTCTAAACCATTCCCCAGCCCCCTCCCCACGCGTTCTTTCTCAGGATTTTCACTAGTTGGCACTTTCCTTTATATCTTCTATTCTGAGCTCCCCATTTTGCTCTATTTTCCTTCTTTTTTGTCCACCCCGCAGTCCCAACGCCACCTCAGCTCTGGTCCTCTGTGGTTATTCTCTCCCTACCCTTTCCTGCTCCGTCATTTCCAAACATGGCCCTTTGTGCTATCCAAAAAGGATGCTCGTCCCTTAGAGGCTGTAGAGGTCTTCAGCTGTGGCTTGCAGGTAAGTGTCATCAGAGAGCCTGGCTTCCAAGCCGGGCTTTCTGAATGTTTCCCGCTGCCCCTCGCCCACTCCCGGGACAGGTTTCCCAGCCATTGAAATGGCTCTTAGGTCATAGAGTTGAACCTAAAGCGACAGGCATGGAGATGCATTCCTTTAATCCCAGCAGTCCCAGGACTCTGGAGGCAAAGCAGGAGGATCTCTTTGAATTAGAGGAAAGCTGGTATACATAGCAAGTTCCAAGACAGCCAGGGCTACATAGAGAGTCTCCTCAATAGATAGGTGATAGATAGATAGATAGACAGACGACAGACAGATGATTGATAGACAGATAGATGGATGCAGAGTTTAGCCATCTCAGTAAAATCACTACCTTCTGTGAAGGGTAGCAGAATTTTCCTGACCGACCTCCACTGAAATCTTCTCCAGAGGCTAATCACGAATATGCCTAAGCTAACACAGGAAACAAGGAGACTGACACAATGGAGTAGAAGTTAGACACAGCCAGCCAGACCCAACACTAGCAGCCAGGTCTACCTCACCATGCCCTAACCAGCCTGGTGTGGCCTAGGATATGCTGTTCTGGGGCCCAGGTTGAGCTAAGAGCTCCAAGCATCCTAGACAATGGGGGATAATGGGGAAAGCTAACAGCTCAGAAACCTGTCTCCCTTTCCTGTGAGGTTGCCAAAAGACAGCTTACGAGTTAGTAAACATTTAGTTTTCTGTTATTTTTGTTTCTGTTTTTATGAGACTCATGAAATTGCTAGCTGGGGCTAGGCGGATGGCTCAGGGGTTAAGGGTCAGGCTTTGACTCCCAGCACTCACATGACAGTTCCCATCCATCAGTAACTCCAGTCTCAGGGGTCTGATGTCCTCCTCTGGCTTCTTTGAGCACCAGGTACCAAAATGGTACACATACAAACATGCAGACAAAGTGCTCATGTACATAGATCCAAGATCCAGGGTTCACATGTAGTACACAGAAGACCAAGAATAAAAGTAAAAGGCCTATGTTGGTGCACACCTTTGATGCCAGCACTTGAGGCAAAGGCAGAGGCTGGTGGACCTCTGGGAGTTTGAGGCCACTCTGACATTCCAGGACAGCCAAGGCTACATAGTGACACCCTGTCTCAAAAACAAAATAAAACAAACAAAAAGTAAAAAAGCCTTAAGCTGTCAGAGCCGGCTCACAGTGCTCACCTGGGTGGGTTCTGGGCACAGTCTGCATCCTAACTGAAGTCACTCTTCCTCCAAGAGGCATCACTCCTCCGAGTCTTGCCCCTCAGCTGCTCCTCTCAATCAAGTCTTCAAAAGAAATGATGGCAGTTGATTGACCAAGAAGGCAAATAGGTTAGGCCCCATTCCTCCCGTTGGCTTTACCTTTAGATAAAGGACCAGCTACCACATCAGATCAGAAGCAGTGGCCCTAGAGTTCTTCAGATAGATCAGGATTTCAGAGCTTTATAGGTCAGTGTGGCTTTTTCTGCCCAGGAACTTTAAGCTTTAGTGAGGATGGGTGAGATGGCTCAGCTCGTACCCACATGGTGGAAACAGAGAACCGACTCCTGCACGCTGTCCTCTGATGTTCACATTCGCACCATGGCGTGTACACTCATTTTGTTGTTATTTCGTTTTGTTGAGGCAGGGTCTTTCTATGTAACCCTGGCTGTCCTGGAACTCACTATGTAGACCAGGCTGGCCTTGAACACACAGAGAGCCCCCTGCCTCTGCCTCCCTAGAGTTGTGATTAAAGGCGTGTGCCACCACACCCAGCCCAATATGTACTCTTATACACTTACACAAACTGAAGTGAGTATATGTGGGGACTGGAGAGACGGCTCTGTGATTAGAGTACTCATTGCTCTTGCAGAGGACCTGGATTCAATTCACAGGACTCACATGGTAACTCACAACCGTCCGTAATACCAGTTCTAGAGGATCCAACTGGCATGCATGTATAAGGAAAACATTCATACACATAAGGTAAAGTAAAAAATAGCTAAATAAATAAATGTAGCAAAACTTGGTAGGCTTGGTTGGTGATGCAGTTCAGTTGCTAGGCAAGCACCAAGCTGTGGGTTTGATCTCCAGCACTAAATAAAACAGGGCATGATGATGTACACTTGTAACACCAGCACTCAGGAGGGAGAGGACCTGAAATTTAACATCATCCTTGACTACATAGTGAATTTAAAGCCAGCCTACACTACATGAAACCCTGTCTCAAAAAAAAACTGGTAAGCTGTGAATGTTAGTATACATCTCATGATACATGCACACACACACATATATAACACATATAATCACATGTTATATAGTGTATGTGTGCATACATATATGTGTGTATCATATATACATATATCATAGTATATACATATATTACATAAATACAGGTGTATATATATCAGATCAATCTTAAGCCCTTTGAGGTAGGGCTAAATCTGCAAATCGATCAATGCTGGACTCTAAGTCAAACAGCATGGTACCAATCTTGACCATGCAAACTGACAAGCCCTCTGTCCTCAGCATATCTCAGCCTCATGGGACAGGATAACACCTACATTCTGAAGGTGTGGTTGCAGGAGTAATAAACAGAAAAAGCACCTGGCATGGTGCCTAGCACATGTAGGCGCACAAAGAAATCACTGGAATCCAAATTACTCGTACTCCCACCTCAAGTCGTTTCCATAAATACTAAACTTCAACCTACACACGGTTGAAATGTTTTGGGGAGTGTTTGCCTTGCTTCTTTGTGGTGCTGGAGCTGAAACCTGGAGCCTTACACATGCTAGACAAGCCCTCTACCACGGAGCTAGACCCCAGCTCTGAATTTCTTTTTAATTATAGGAAGCTGACATGGTAGTAACGGTGAGATGTATACAAGGTATAATTACTAATAGTAATTCCTACAAGATGTAAGGGGGGAGAAAGTCCTTACAAATGCTCAGTTGGTCAGGGAGACAGACATGGTAAGATGCTACTTGGCATTATGTGTAGAAGTCTTTGAAGTGTTTACATCCATTGAGCCAGTGAATAATTTGGCAACCAGTTATTTCTGCCAAAAAAAATACAAAAAGGATAATCAGTGCAATTATTACATGTATCATCGCAAGCTTCTTTTCGGTGTTATTTATGGTAGCTAAAAATGCCCACTCAGACGATGACCAAGCTATAACACATTCCTATGATAGACTATTTAACAGTTGTAAGAGATCATGTGCTAGCAGGAAATGTGACTAAGTTGGTAGAGCACTTGCCTAGCAAGCAGGAAGCCTGGATTCTACCCCAGCAACACAAAAACTGGGTGTGGTAGTAGTTGACTTTAATCCTAGCATTCAGGGATGGAAGCAGGACACCAGAAATTCAGGGTCACTGTTGACGCCATGGTGAGTTTGAGGCCAGCCTAGACTATGTGAGACCCTGCCAAAACAAACAAACAAACAAACAACAACAACAAAAAACAACCACAAAAAAACCAAATGAAGCTCATGTGGTATTGTGTGAGCAGACTTTTAACAAAACCTACACAGAAAAATAGGATCCCCAGACCCACATAGTGGAAGGCAAGAACAGACTCATGCACATTGTCATGTGGCCTCCACATGCATGACCATGCATATACACAACAATAAATACATAGAATAAAATTTTGATAAGCCCTGATGGGGATCTAGCTCAGTGGTAAAGTCAGCTCTCCACATGCATGCAATGGCACATAAACAACCATAAACAATAAATGAATGAATGCAATTAAATTAATAACTTAGTCATTAATTTAAATATTTTAATTTAATTATTAATTTAAAAGTTTAAATTAATTATATATTTTAATTAATAAATTTAATTAATTTAAAGTTTGATAAGCCTGGCTGGGAATAGTTTAGTTGGTAGAGTCAGCCCTTAGCTTTTTGAATGAATGAGTTCAATATTTATGCATACAAAGCTAGCAGTTAACCACACTAAATGTTACTAGAATTTATCTTGGATAATATGCTTTTGGGTGACTTATGTTTTCATTATATTATAATTATAGTAATATATATGTATATATATACATATATATATACTCATGTTTTGCAAAATGACTGCAGTTCCTATGCCTTTATTGTTGTTATGTTTGGTTTGGCTTTTTGAGACAATGTTTCTCTGTGTAGCCCAGGCTGTCCTGGACTCACTGTAGACCAGGCTGGCCTCAAACAGGGATCCATCTGCCTCTGCCTCCCTAGTGCTGATACATACTTTTCAACCAGAGAGCCAGAAATCAGAAATCAGGACCTAGTTCAAAACTCTATTTGGATTTAATGATACAAATATGTAAGGCTTTGTTTTTATAAATGTTTGCTTATTAGTGAATGTAATGTATTATATAGAAATTACATGATTTAGTGGTTCCCATATGACATTTTGTACATATGTATCACTATACTGTGCTCATGCCCCACCCTCCTCTTCTGGGTTGTCATCTTTACATCTGGGTTTTTTTGTTTGTTTTTGTTTTTCTTAAAACTCAGTGCCCCATGGGAGGATCAGGCAGATAGCGTCTGCTGTTCCCAGCTTTGATCTCTCCTGAACATCACCCCATGCGTTCCTGGCATGCCACAGCTCAGAGATCCTTGGAGGCCAGTATCTTGGGCTGCAAATCAGGAAGCTGAAGGCTGAACTTGGTCTGGCTATTTTCAATTAATGAACATGCTGGGAGCACCTTCCTTAGGCTACGGTGAGCATCCTCCTCGGACTGCATTGCATCCATGGAGGGGAAGCTGAAGGTTCTGGATAGCATTTCAGATTAATCTGCAGACTAGCAGGGCGTGGTGGTGGCTCATGTCTATAATCCCAGCGGTAGAGAGGCTATAGTAGGAAGGTTGCCAAGAGTTTGAGGCCAACCTGGACTACAATGTGAGTTCTAGATTACGCTAGGCTACAGTTAGATACTGTCTTAAGAAAATAATAATAATAATAATAAGGGTGATTAGTTCTTTTGGGGAGGGTTTCGAGACAGGGTTTCTCTGTGGCTTTGGAGGCTGTCCTGGAACTCGCTCTTGTAGACCAGGCTGATCTCGAACTCACAGAGATCCGCCTGCCTCTGCCTCCCAAGTGCTGGGATTAAAGGCGTGCACCACCAATGCCAAGCTAAGGCTGATTAGGTCTATCAGCTTGTATTCAGGTTTGTATTTCTTCTATCTCAAAATCAAAACAGTCCCAAGAAGGAAATACTGTTGTTCCTGACACACTGGGTAAACTTGAAGGACATTGTGCTAAGTGATATATGCCAGACGCAGAAAGATAAATACTGTGAGTCTATCCACTCAACAGGAGAGTCACCAAGGAGAATGGTGGTTGCCAGGGATCAGGGCTGTGGGGAAGACAGAAACTGGGAATCACAGAGCACAAATTTCAGCTGTGTGTGTGTGTGTGTGTGTGTGTGTGTGTGTGTTCTATAGGAGTGTGCAGGTGGATGCAGGTGCCAAGGGGGCCAGAAGAAGGCACTGAAACCCCTAGAGCTAGAGTTACATGCAGCTGTGAGTCACTCAATGTGGGTTCTGGAAACTGAAATTGGATCCTTTTCAAGGGTAATACACACTCTTAACTGCTGAACCAACTCTCTAGTCCCCCAATTCAATATTTTTCATTAAATAAGTAATAAACAGGTGTTAGTGGTGCACACCTTTAATCCCAGCACCTGGGAGGTAGAGGCAGGTGGATCTCTGTGAGTTCGAGGCCAGCCTGGTCTACAGAATGAGTTCCAAGGACTGCCTCCAAAACAATACAGAGAAACCCTGTCTCGTAAAACCACACACACAAAACAATAAGTAATAAACTTCCCTCCACAGTGTGATAGTGCTATGTGTCTGTAATCATAGCAATGAGGATGCAGAAGCAAGAGGATCATGAGTTCGAGGCTAGCCTGCGCTGCATAGGGAAATACATCTTCAAAACAATTTTTAAAAGTCCTCACTTCTCCATTTGTTCTATTACCCAACCTCATCACAGCAGTTTTCAACAAAAAGCCTCAAGTGAACTGACCCTCTCTCACTGTGCCTGGGTCCTCTTCTAATCTCCCAGCCCTCACTGGTGCATTATCTACCACCCAGGAAGACTGACAGTCAACCCTCCGCTGTCTCACTCCGAGGTCTGTTGAGGGCCCCTACTTTCCATGACTGGCCCCTTCCTATGACCCCATTGCTCCTTGCCCTCTCCTCACTTGCTGTCCCACAGTCACCTATCCCTCCTTGGTGACAGTGAACCAAAGACCTGGCCCTTGGAACTGACTCCTGCCCCCTTATTCTCTTTGCTAAGCATTTTCTAAAGAAGAAGAAGAAGAGGAGGAGGAGGAGGAGGAGGAGGAGGAGGAGGAGGGGGAGGAGGGGGGAGGAGGGAGGGAGAGAGAGAGAAACAAAAATCAGCTTCATTTTGTGGAGAATGGTTAGGTTTACAGCAAAACTAAACAGAGATTTCCTGTTGTCAGACCTGCACATGGGCAGCCTCCCCCCCACAACAGGCCTCCCACACCATAGAGACATCTGTGATCTGTGCTGGAGCCTACACTGACAAGCCATGGTTACCCAGAGTTCAAGTGTGCCTTCCAGATCCAGGGTGCTCATGCTTGTATCTTCAGCCACCCCCACCCCTGACTCTGAGGAACTCCTCCTCGGGCAGTCTAGTAAGACATTTCAAATGGGATGTTTCTAGAAAAAATTCTCCCTTCCCACTCCTGCTCTCTACCAGGTAACAGTACCTCATCAGCCACTCAGACAGTATCTGCCAGCCATTGTTCCCATCTTGCGTCGATTCTGCTGAGTAGTCCTTATAAATCCAGAATTTGACCCTTCTTGCTCCCTCCATTCCATCAAAGCCACCACGTCTGCATGAATGAAGCAGTCTCCCAGCCCGCTTCCTCTTGGCTGTAATCTGCCATAAACCTAGTCTGCAGGGAGACTGCCCCACCCAGGGAAGTCTTCATGCCAACACTCTGCCTGACACTGTTTGATATCACCCTGAGAGGAAGCCCTGGGCCACACAGAGACCTGTGAGCTCCCAGTGGTGACTTCACCCTCCTCAGGACTCCAGACGCCTTCACCTGTACCCTGCCTGTGCCCAGCACCTACATGTATCTAGAGCACTCTTCCCTGGTGTAAGTATTGCTCAAGGGCTGTTTCCACAGGTCCTGTCCCTCTCTTGCCTTCTCATCCAAGTCCCCACAACGCATGTTTAAGATGGCAGAGCCAGGACTGAGGATGCAGGTGAGTGGGTGCACTACTTGCCTAGGATACATAAAGTCCTGGGTTCAACCCCTAGTGTTGCATAAACTAGGCTTTTTCATGCATGTCTGTAATCCTGGCGCCTGAAGAACAGCCCAGGAGGATCAGAAGTTCAAGGTCATCCTTGGCTGCATACTAAGTTTGAGGCCAGCCTGAGCTACATGAGACCCTGTCTCTAAACAAGCGAGCAAGCGAACCCTTCCACACCTTCTTTTTCCCCATCCCTGCGTCCTGTGTTACAGTGGGTCCCTTCCAACACAGTATACTTTTCAGGGTTCTTCTTTGCTGGCCCCTCCCTCTAACTCCCCGTATTACATTCTCCCTTGAACATGGGCTCTGTTTGGTTCACTGTTGTCCCAGCACTTGCAAAGGTCTCTGATGTAGGAAACAGTCAACACTAGGTTGATGGATCAAAGGAAGGTGCGAAGCTCTCCTTCCTCCTGCAGGCCACTTGAAATGGCAGAAGGGTTAGCACATGCGCGCAGAGAGATCACAACCCATTGAGAGTGGGCAGAGGAGCAGAAACTGCCCTTAACAGGAGGAAGGATGTGAGTGCAAGAAGTGCCCCGGGGAGCACAACGCGGTGCCCCCACGGAGCTCAGAGAGCTCCTGCCTGGAAAGCTCAGACCTCAGGAAGCAGGAAGACGGAGCCGCAAAGGTTAGTTAGCATTAGGGACAAGAGAGAAGGCCGTGTGAGCAGGCTCCCTCTCCAGCCACCTAAGGAGCAGAAACTATTTAGGGAAATATTAGAGCACAGAGGCTCTGGACTAGGGCAGGCAGGGGCTGGAGGGGCAAGAGTTCCAGACCGGCCCGGGATATATAACAACAATCTGGCTTGAAACACTAAGGGATGGGACGCAGCTCATTCGGCAGTGTTGTTCCAGTCCAGTCCCCAGCACCACAGGAGCCAGGAGTGAACTGTACGACTGTCGTTCAACTACTCAGGCAGTAGAAGCAGGAGGATCAGAAGTTCAAGGCCATCCTCAGCTACAGTAGTTTGAGGCCAGCCTGGGGTACAGGAGTATGTTTTTTTTAAAGGCAGTCAAACATATGTCTGTTGTTTAATCCAAACATTCCACAGAAAAATGAAAACATATGTCCCGCAGATGGCTCAGCATGTAAGCGCTTGCTGCCAAGCGTCATGACCTGCGTTCAGTCCCTGGGACCCATATGGTAGAAGGAGATGACCAACCCCTGAAAGTGGTTCCCAGACTCCACACACTGTGCCTCATGTTCATGGGCACACATACACACACTCAACTCACGCTCGCCAAATAAGAATGTCACAAAAATCTCAAATGGAAGTGTATGTAAGAGCCGAATACAGAATGTCCACAGCTGCTTTATTTGAAATAGCACTAATTGGAAACACCAAATGTCCATCAACAGTTGACTGGAAGGAAAATTCCTGGCGTGTGGATATAATGGAATACCAGTCACCTAACCCCCTTCCCTACTCGCAATGTTGGCTACTGATAGATTCTGGGAGCGAGTGAGTCATTGTTTTCAGTTGTGAACCCACTAAGTAAATCACAAGAAATGGCCAGAAAGCAAAGGCTGCAAACCTTGAAGAGAAAGTCCCCAAGATGGGAAAGGAAGGCGTAGTGTCTGGTTTTTCATACTCTTACAATGTGCATATGTCATTTTACTAAACTGATGTTTAAAATTCTGATGATTGTACTTGCCTAGTCCACACAAGAGGGAAGATTTGGTGACGGTGGCAGTACTAGTGACTGAAGTCTTCTTAGGTGCTTGGCACAGTGAAAAGTATGGTTTCAAATGCTGTCCTCATGCAACAACCTTTGAGTGCCTTCGCCACCACTACACAGCCTCTAGGCCATCTGGGCAACATGATGCTTGAGCTTCTCAGAAACTTCTTTGGTATATGTCAGTCCTGTGAGTGTTTCAGGTAAGGTATTTTAAGACTCTCACTGGTTTTTGGAAACTGCCGATAGCTCTTTGGTGACAATGAACAGAAAGAGGTGTGAGATAACAGAGAAATCAGTTTGAGGACTGGGGAGGAGCTGGGTCAGTGTACTGGTCTGTTTCCAAGGTCTGGAAAGAGTTCATGAGAACCACAGTGGGGAAAATGGCAGATGATGGCTTTCAGAGACAAGCACATCCCCCATTTGGACGTTGTTGTGTGACGGCCTTTTCATGGGGAATGCAATACATACACATCTAGAGGGGCCTAGTGAATCTGGTCAGTTTCAGGGACTTCCTGAAGCTGTTCTGAGTTGTTTGCTGTCTGTCTTTTTTTTTTTTCATTTATTGAAAATAGATTTTTTTCCTCACATAAGATATCCTGGTTATGGTTTCCCCTCTCTCTACTGCTTCCAGTCTCCCCCCCAAATCTGGATCCACTTCCTTTCTGCTTCTCATTAGAAAACAAACAGGCTTCTAGGGGATAATAATAAAATAAAACCAAGACAAAGCAAAACTAACACACTGTATTTGGACAAAGTAAACAGAAGGAAAAGAGCCCAAGGGGAGGCACAAGAAATGTGTGTGTACATCCAGGAATCCCCAAAAGCACTAAACTGGAAGCCGTAAACACACAAAGGGCCTGGTGCAGACCCGAGTGCGCCTGCTGCCTCAGCCTCTGAGTTCATATGAGCTTTGATCACGTAGCTTTGGAGAGCCTTGTTTTCTTGATGTCTTCCTTCCCCTCTGGCTCTTACATTCTTTCTATCTCCTCTTCCACAGGATTCTCTGAGCCCTAAGGCAAGAGATTTGATAGAGACATCCCTTTTAGGGCGGAATGCTCCAAGGTCCCTCACTCTCTGCATAGTGTCTAACTGTGGTCTCTGTACTTGTTCCAGTCTGCTGCAGGAGGAAGCTTCTCTGATGATGGTTGAGCAAGGCCATCTATGTGTATAACAGGTTGTCATTAGGCGTTATTTTATTCCTGCTTTTTTGTTTGTTTGTTTGTTTGTTTGTTTTAGAACAGTAGTGTTTGGTTTTACCCTAAGCCCCTGAGCTCTCTGATCTCAAGTCTTGATCACTGAAGCAGCATTGATTATGGGTTCCATCTTGTGGAGTAAGCCTTAAGCCCAATCAGATACTGGTTGGTCACTCCCACAAGCTCTGTGCCACTGTTTTATCAGCGTATCTTGCAGACAAGGCACATTGTGGATCAAAGGTTTTTATGGCTGGGTTGGTGTATAAGTTTCTCCTTTAGTAGCCTGCAGAGTGCCTTCCTGTACCAAAGATGCTAGCACAAACGGGTGAAGGCTCGATGGAGGCACCAGCTTGACCTCTCTTTGTTCAATGAGTTGTGTGGTGTTATCATCAGCCACAGTGCCTTGCCATCAGTTTGTGGAGAACAACCTGTAGTCTTGATAGCCTGGGTTGTTTGGTGGTGCCCGTGGGACGCCTTTAGCCAAAAACTGAATTAGTACTCAATCCTGGTACTGGAAGCTTCATGTGGTTGCAAGAAGATGGCTAGTTGGGGCTCTGTCTTCTCCATTATTTGGCGATTTCATTTAGATCACCCTTATATATGTATATATGTATATATGTATATATGTATATATATATTTTTTTAGGAAGCTTTTACTGTATTAGATTTCCATACTACCCCTCAAATGGCCCTTAGTTTTAACTGTCTCTCCCCCATGTTCTCTCCCTTGTTCCCCTCTTCCCTCCCCTTCTGTACTTGGTACTCCCATTTCAGCCACCCCATTCATCCATAACTATCTGCTCTATTTCCCTTTCCTAGCAAGATCTGCCTGCCCTCCCCACACTGCCAGTCCTTACTCTATACTTAACCTCTGTGATTCTCTGGGTTGTAGCTTAGTTATTACTGACTTAAAAGCTAATGTCCACATATAAGTAAATGTGTATCATATTTGTCTGTCTGGGTCTGAGATACCTCACTTGGGATGATTTTTTTTTCCGTTCTATCCGTTTACCTGAAAGTTTTATGATTTTATTTTTTTTAACAGTTGAGTAATTACATTGTGTAAATACACATTTTCTTCATCCACTCTTCTGCTGAGGGATATCTAGGTTGTTTCCAATTTCTGGCTATTGTGAATGGAGCAACAATGAGCATGGTTGACCAAGCGTCTCTGTGGTAGGATGGAGTGTCCTTTGGGTGTATGTCCTAGATAGGGGGGAGTGTTCTTTGGGTATATGTCCTAGAGTGGTAGAGCTGGACCCTGAGGTAGTTTGGTTCCTGTCTTCCTGAGGAACCACCACACTGATTTCCCCAGTTTTCACTCCTACCAACAAAGGATGAGTGTTCCCCTTACATCCCTACAGCATGAGTTGCCAATTTAAACATGCTGGGCAGTGCTGCATGCCGTTAATCCCAGCACACCTTTAATCATAGAGACAGGCCAATCTCTGTGAGTTCAAGGCCAGCTTGGTCTACCGGGCTAGTTCCAGGACAGCCAGGGATACACAAAGATACCCTGTCTCAAAAAATAAACCAAAGCAGAAAACAAAGAACAACAACAACAGCCGGGCGTTGGTGGCACACGCCTTTAATCCCAGCACTCAGGAGGCAGAGGCAGGTGGATCTCTGTGAGTTCGAGACCAGCCTGGACTACCAAGGGAGTTCCAGGACAGCCTCCTTTTCCACAGAGAAACCCTGTCTCAGAAAAAAAAACCAAAAAAAAAGAACAACAACAACAAAAATAAATAAATACAGCATCAAATTCCACATTCCACCTGTTTTTAGGTATCCAGATACACATTGCAGTTCTCCAGAATTTCCATCTTGTCAGTCGGATACACTACCTATTCGCTAGCTTCCCTCTGCACTCCTTTCAGCTCTAACACTCTATTTGTTTTTAATTTGACAACCTTAACAATGTAAACAAATCTAGCTTACTCCACTTAGCAAAACGTCTTCATGGTTCCTCACAGTGCAGGAGCTATTAGTTTCACACCCTCCTTCCCTCTGCTATTTCTTCTTTTCCACTTGTATAAGACAGAGTCTCAATATGTGGTTCAGGCTGACCGCCAAGTTGAGATCCTCCTTGCTGCCCAGTGATGACTCATGCCTTTAATCCCAGCACTCGGGAGGCAGAGGCAGATGGATCTCTGTGAGTTCGAGACCAGCCTGTTCTACAAAAGTGAGTTCCAGGACAGCCTCCAAAGCCACAGAGAAACCCTGTCTCGACCCTGTCTCGAAAAACCAAAAGAAGAAGAAGAAGAGGAGGAGGAGGAGGAGGAGGAGGAGGAGGAGGAGGAAGAAAGAAGAAGAAGAAGAAGCAAAAAAGGAAAAATATATAGAAGTGTCATGTATGAACGGAGGGGAGAACGGCAACAGCTACCCTGAGCTCAATGCCTAACTCCCTGACGTTGTTCTCTGACCTCTATATGCTCATCTTGTCACTTGTCCCCTTCCCACACATGCACAAAAAAGGAGTGAGTTTTAAGTGAATGCTTTGTTTTGTTTTTAATCAAATATAGTAAGGCCAGGGAGAGGCACTTACGCACAGGACTGGTGACTGGAATTTAATTCCTAGATCCCACAAGGTGGCAGGAGAGAACCCATTCGCATGTCTTAGTATGTGCACCTGTGTTCTCATTCTCCCCTCCCCCCCCTGTGTGTGTGTGTGTGTGTGTGTGTGTGTGTGTTTCTCCCTCACACATGATTTTAAAACGTGGTTAATTAGGTCACTGTTCCCAGAATATGAAAAAACTATCATTTCATTTCAAAACCTTTTATTAAATTTAGATTTCCACTTTTTTTACACATCCTGCCTTTATTCTTGTTACTAAAACCCTGACAGAGGCTATTCCTAATGAAAAGTCATCAGCAGCCCGGGAGCAGAACAGGTACTCACTGGAACACACAGTAAAGCCTCAGCAGGTGGCAGAGGGCATGCATGGCCAGGGCGAAGGAAAGACAGCACTCCCTTCTAGGAAATTCTGTTCCAACCTTCACACAAGCACGTCCACGAGCCCCACTGAGAGCGGTAGAGGAGACCAACCCGCTGGAGAGTCCCCCTTGCTCGTCAGTCAGGGGCTTCCAGGGGTTCTCCCCATGGTCCAACCCCCTCACACAGGGCAGTGGTAGAACACTGCCTAGACTTTAGGAGACAGTTGAACTTTGATGTAGAAAATAAGTGGAATGACCCAAGAGTCTCCAGGGTCACGACATCCTCCCCATTTCAGCAGACAACCAGATTCTCCATTTTTGTACACAGGGCTTCTAGTCCCTTCTGGCCGCAGGAGTACCCTTTTGCTTTTTACAGTCATTTGTTTGTAAATAGTTTACAAACTTATCTCAAATAACCCATTTGTTTTCTCAACAACTATTCACTAAACATCCAATACGAGTGCTGGGCTGCGATGTCAGTACTACATAAAATAGGAAAAGTCCCTAAAGCCCAGTGGAATTTATAGTGTGGGAAGCATCGTTAAGCAAAGCGTTATACAGATACACAGAGCCATATCACAAGGGCTATAAAAATAAATGACATGACAGAGGAGAGGCTGAATTTCCTATTTCTGTACAAAATATCACAACCTCATTGTATATGAAGGGTTAGAGGTATTATAAGCAAAAGTACAGGGTGGGGGGAGAATGTTGAGCTATTAATTAAAATATTATATTTGGCCATCGATATGGCTCAGCAGGTAAAGGTGTTTGCTCCCAGGCCTGAAACCTAAGTCCCATCTCCAAAGTTGGCACGGTGGAAGGAGAGTCAAACCCACATTTATCTTTTGATTCTCTGTACATGCACCACAGCTTGTATGTGCCCGCACATGAGCAGTGGGTATTAGCTCTGCCCACGACCTTGGGCTATCTGGCCTGATAGAGGCAGTGCTGTGACCTCTTAAAAAGGAAGGAGGGAGGGGGTCGTTGTTGTGCTCCCTTGGTGGTCAGGCACTTGAAGCAGGTGTGATAGGTCCCCAGCTTCCCAAGGACTCTGCAACTGGATTTACCAAATCTTGTACTTGGGAGTGTATTTTTCCCTTTTCATATCTTAATAAATCCTTTGTGCCCCTTAAACAGATGCATGTGGATTTCTCACTATACACACACACACACACACACACACACACACACACACACACACAAAATAAACACATCTAAGCTTTTAAAAAAATAAAAACAGCCAGTATGGGCTATACAGTGAGACTGTGTCACAGAAAACAAAACCAAGCTCCATAAATATCATAGGTACTAACTTGAAAACAAAAACTACCCTCCTCTGTTAACTAATCTATCCTGAATGCCGAGGAACTCTCTAGATGTCTGTGCTGTACTTAACTGCCACTCTCATATGGTAGGCTTTGATGTCTCCTTCCTGCCATACTGGCAGCCCCTCTTTCTAAAATGCAACCACCCTAAGCTGTCTAGTACGAACATGCAGT